AATAACTTATGAGAAATGTTAGAATTCATCTCTGTTACTCCTTTTGTTAACAGGTTAGCACTCGACCACTTCACATATCCAAGGCTTTATGTATTATTAATCAAAAGAGTTAAAAAGTCAATCCAATCTGGTTATATACAGTAGTTCTCATGGTTTTCAAACCTCTAAATAATTTATGGTGTCATCACTTTCCCAGTGGATGTCAGGCTGGTAGAATGTCTGGAATCAGAATCCCACTGGGAAAAAAGAAACATAGTCAGAAAAAGTAGTAATTTTTTTTTTTTTAATAATAGCAACTCCAGCCTATTGTATCATCCCTATCAGTCTCTAGAGAGATCATTTCTCAGAAAGAGAAATTTTTCTTCTATGAATCCTTTTGGGATCAAAGAATCCTGACAAATCTATGCCTACACAGTACTCTAACTGGCTAAGGGTGCATGTACGTGTTGAGCATAGACGAATGTGTCTTCACTTTGAAAAAATTCCTAGATCTTTATTCAGTGAAAACCAATCATAATTGATAATAGTTCTTTTACTATAAATTGTACCCTAACTGTAATTATCGTTATGATGTTGAGATCCATTCAGACCTTCTTAATTCAAACACATTTTTCTGTTTCTTTTGAAGTGATAAGCTGCTCCCCCCTTCTTCGCTGCCCGGGTGCGGGGCGGCTGATCACTGTAATCTTAAATGGCTTTCTTTTTTTGTGTGTGTGTTCCAAATTCAATCAACCATTTTTGATTATACGAATATTGGAGAATCTACTTTCAGACTTTTTTAATCTTTCTAGATATTCAAGAATATCATAAAAATGTGATTTAAAAATAATGCATTCAATTTAAAAGTATGTTAAGAAATAATGGCATTATTTTATGTGATAGAATACTAGATTCTGGCTCCACACGCAAAGGCCTTGACTTCTATTATTGAAGAGACTGCTACCATATATTTAACACATAACCTCCTTTCAGAATTAAAAACCTCCTCTCAAACCAGAAAATCATATATTCTTCCTCCATGCAAAATAAGGTCATTGAAAGCCAGCAATATCTGGCAGGTACTCTGATACCTCCCCAATAGATTATCAGTTTTTATATCTCCTTGATTTGTGCCATAGAGTTGTATCTTAGATTCAGTGCAAGGCTATTTTCTTTCCCTTGCACTCCTCACTAACAAACCCAGGAAGAATCAGTTAAGAAAGCTGTCCCATACTCTATAACACAGCTGATTGTACTTTCTGCTGCCAAGTCTCCATACCCATTCTGCTCAGCCAAGTACAAAGTCCTCCCTTCTGCATCAAAATCCTGTTGTCCTATATGTCTAAGAATTTTCATTTCCTAGCCCTTCATTGCTATGCATGCAATTATTAATGGAAACAGGTGAGAGTAAGGATGCATTTCTACGTGTAGTAAGATGTTTGCCAAGAAGGCTGCATGAGATTCAGAATTCTGCATTTATATAAATTAAGATCTTGGCCTGAAACATAGGTAAAGAAAGTAAGCTTCTGCAGCTGTGAAATGTTTGTCATATCATTATGAACTGGGGTTGGGAAAATTTGGTGGGAATGTCACGTACAGAATCAGAGTTTGGGACACTTATTCTTCTAAAAACAATAACAAAAATAGAAGCACAAAAAGTAATATTATAATCAATGAAAAATGTGAAGAATTTAGGTTCATGCATATCATAAAATTCCCTCAATACCACTAACTCAATTGTATTGATGACACATATTGACTCACAGTCTGCTTTCAGTAACACTTGCGTAAATCCAGGGTACTGCAGCTCCAGTCACTTTGGTGTAATTGCTCATGATTTACACTCATGTAACTGACAGCATTTGACCCTTAGACTGTACATATATCTTAAATTATGCATTTAGCTCCCTGAGCCACAACTGAACAATAAGGCAGTATATATATCATCCGGTATGTACCATGCATCAGCTTAATGTGGACATTTTAGTTTTGCAATTCTTCCACTCTTGTGCTGCCATTCTCATACTTGAAAGGGTATTAAATTATATATATATATAAATATATAGCACTCATGCATACACTTTTAAGAAATCTGGGTAATTCCTAGGTCATCTCTGGCTCAAGAAAACTCTGTACTTTTGACATCTCTGTTAACCAGTATGTTCAAAAAATGAAGGCAGAAGTGCATGAGTATTTAAATTGATTTTATCTGGCCTTTCCACATATTCAGGTTCTCCAGATAAAAGATAGACATTTCTCAATGGGAGGTTACTGAGATGAGGGAAAAGTATAGAAGAACCCTTAGTCCTCTGTTGATTTTGGCAGTATTTATGTATCACAGTTCCTTTCTTCATGTGGTGAGCTTATGGCTGAGGAGTGTTCCTTCTCCTAGGGTAAGTCTTCTGAACCTTGCAATATCAATGTTATACTGCAGGTGCTCTGTCTAGCTCTAACTTACCTTATGCTTGTCCTGCAGTCACATTCTCAGAAGTTTCCGTTGAAGACAAAAGAGGCTTCCAGAAATATTTCAACAGATCAAGAGCAGACTAGGCAATCTGTTTTAACTTTCAACAAACAAAAATGCCTTTAAACTCCATTTTGTAGGGTCCCAAGTGTTGTGTCCTATACTCACTGTTTATATAATTGACACAGGATAGTCACAGTCAAGATGAGGCCAAAAGCAGAGAAACGGTATCTTTGGAAACACCTGAATGCTCTGAAGCATTTGCCTTCATTTTACTGCATTATAACATTTAACATTTTCCAAGACCCTTCTTTCTAAGGAGCCTAAACCTGCAGAGCTTGCATTATTTCTGTAGATCCTGCAGGCGTCTAAAAGGCAGATATACTCGGAAAAAAAAGATTAAAAGTAACATTGTCTTTAAAAATGATATTGCTAAGAAGTGAAAATAGAAATTCATTTCATTTATAAACAAAATCACGGGGAAAAAAGAAGAAAGTTTAACAGAAAAGCAGTAAAGTTTTGGACAGTTCACAAGGTCTAGCAGCCTGTGGGCCAAACAATAAGCAATTTGTTGAGGAAGAGAGAATAAAGACATTCTTTCAGGCTGGCTGGCTGGCATGGTGAGCTGCCCATTGTGCTGCTGGCTGCAAGACCTGGGATTAGGGAGCAACTCAGGTTCCCAGGCTTGGCACCAATGGAGGCTCAAGTTTATGTATTTAGTCTTTGAACAGAAGAAGAGGTCACAGTTCAGTACCATTTGAGAGCTCATCTACCAAACAGCGCTAGTATTGGCTCCAGAGGATGGATGTTCGTCTGCCCATTTGGTCAAAGGTGAACTGCCCTAATAATGCCTCTAGCAAGGTAGAAAAGATAAAAAAGCTTGAAAAGCAAAGCTGAGATGGGGGAGGGAACTCTTTTAAGTGATAGACTCCAGTGAAAAAGAAAGCACAGTCATAATGACAATCTGTCACCTGAAAGTAGCACGGTAGGTTAAAATTGAATAATGCAACATACACCAAAATATATTTTAAAATGTTTTCCTAAAGTTCCTCATGTAAAGTTTCATGTCAATTTTATTTCTGCATTAGAAAGCATGAAAGGAAAGGAAGACAGGGTGCTTCTATGCTGTACTAAATCTTCAGTTTCTTTCAAAAGCCCCAGATATTACACTCTACACTTACAAATTGGGGGAAAAAAAAAGAAAGAAAGAAAAAAAAAAGAAACAATATAGTTATCAATCAAGTATATATTTCAGGATTAATTTCACAGATTTCCATAGCTGCCAGATTCCCCAGGAATTACTAGCTGGGAATAAGAAAGCTACATTAGCACTTGTAATGTCCAAAAATTATTACACTCTGATGAACATTAGGGGTTTTATCTCTGAAACTGTCATTCTCTGTTGATAGGTGGTCACTGTAGATATTCCAAAGGGGATTTCTCCAAGATTACAGCTTTCCTTGACCAGTTTAAATTGCCAGATCTTTTATGATGGCCTCCAAATATTTGAATTATTTACTGGATAGGATATGCTGAAAGAATTGTATTCTAAAAGGAGAAATTATACATTAATAACAAACACATCTGTAGGAGGGCTCTTTCTTTGCTGATACCATTCATGTTTTGATACTTTAATGTAGGTCTAGGTGAATTTTAATAGAGGTATGACCTTATTTCACACTAATATTCAAAAATTAAGTTTTTGGAGTCATGTACAATAGATATTTACAGTTTATGTTTTTCTTTCACTTTCTGCGAGCACTCGCAGAACAGAGTTTTTCCAACTTTCATGTCTCAGAAAGAAAAGTTGAGGCTTATGTGTGTGAATGTGAAATTAAAAATAAGCAGAATGAAAGGAACATGCAAGAGTCTAAAAACAAAACAAAACAAACAATAAACAACTAACTAAAACCAACATCTACATCATTCAAACATTCATGATTGCTCTCTAGAATAAGGAAGACAAAAGTGAAGCTAAACAAACAAAAAGCCTCATAGCCCAATTTTCCATAATGAATGCATCGGAGGCAAATGCAGTCTGTTTATGTCTGTTTATGAGCATCCTGTGGACAGAAGAAGCATTTAAATTTGTCACCTTTGGGTTTAAACTGAGCCAGGATAGCAGAATCGAGCCTCAAGTGAATTGCTTGTTAAAGGCATTAAGTCCACCTCTACCTTCTTCAGATACTCAGAAAACTTTAGACGTTCTAGGCAAGGTTTTTCTGGACAAGAACCTTTCATATGTGGGCATTAAAAAAATAAATCCGAGGCATGACGTCTTGAGGTTAGTTTCAGTTTTTCATTAAACTTCTGCTTGATATTGCTGTCTTCTTCCCAGACAGAGAAAAGAAACTTTTATTTTTAATCAAATGAGACCACAGGGTAACCAGGAAGAATAATTATTATAATTTACATTTTTGGTTTGAGGTAAAAGCATGAGATAGGATGATAGGATGAAAATTTGATGTTGTTGATCTTTTGTTGAAGCAAATCAAGGCCTAGGTTCAGCCCAGAATAGAAAGAGAGCACATCGTGCAAGGTAACACACCTCCCTACCAGGACATCCTGGCTGGCTGCTGGTTGTCTCTGTTCTCTGCAAACCCCTTAGCCTCAAATTCTTGCTGTAAGTTTTCCGAGTTTCTTAAATACTGAGGTTGGGTTTTTTGTTTATTTGTTTGTTTGTTTGGTTGGTTGGTTTTGTTTTTGTGTGTTTTTTTTTTTTTTTTTAAGGCAAATGAATGCTAAGACTTCATTTCTGTGCTGGAAAAATGAAATGCAAACAAGCTCTGCTCAAAACAAACTAAGAGGCAGATGTCATGAGGGGCAGGTGACATGAAGAACCACCACATTACCACATAGTGGTGGTTGGAGGTGATATGCTTTACCTTCTGAGAACTGCTATCTCCGGGGTTGGGGAGCTGACTAGCTAGCGTCCTCTCCCTCCAAAAACTACTTAAATGAAACAGTGACAGTCCTTGGCTTGAAAGTTATTTGGAACAGATGCTACATCCTCCTTTTGGTTTGTTTTGCACCACGCAAGGAGAAGGGGAAACACTACTTCTGTGTCTAAACATCATATGAAATAGAAATAAGTAACCATCTATTGATCTACACTGAGGAGTATAGCTCAAGTTAGTGAGGAACCTAAATATGAGTTTGAAAGTCTGAGAAACTATCCAAGCCTTCAAATCTTAGTCAATAAATCATCTGTTAAAGATTATTTTTTCTGAATTTCATCATAGTTTAACTGTAGCTTTACTCATAGAGCTTAGAGTGGGGTTTTCCATCCTCCTTATCTCAGCCATATTGTACCTTTCATCTTCGTTATGATTCTGCTCCCCTCCAGTGTCAGTTCTCACACAGCTTCTAGCTTTACATCTTGATGTGTGTCCATTGTATGACTTCAGCCACCTGCATGTGCCTGGTACGGGCCCCACATGTCACCCCTCTTTTTTTCTTTTGCTGCCTCTCACTCTTTCTCAGACCACAGGGGCTGCAAGCTTGGTCTCCCATCATCACTTTCTCAGTGTGGCATTTCCTTCTGTACATTGCTCTTGCACGTTGTTTATCTCTCAGAAGGATTGTAGCTATAGATAGCATCAGTGGAACTGTATCTGTCTAGGAGCAGATGTCTACCTCTGCCGTATCATCTTAATTGCCCTGCTGTGGCTCACCTACCAGAAGTCTCTTTTTTTTTCTGCCTTAGCTTTTTAATTTTTATTTTTCCATCAGTTTTGCAAATGATTAGTTGAAAAACAGCAGGACTAAGCTTTTAGGCATAGGACTCATCTGGGAATATTTGACTTTGAAAGGTAAAAAAAATCTTTTCAGTCCCTAATCAACTGGACAGAACTTTCTAAGATCTTTGAGATTCAGTCTCATCTCTTCATTTTGTAATGCATTACATCACCACTGAAAGAGAAACTAAAGAGGTAGGAAATTAATATAAAAATATCAGTCCAAAAAAAGGTAATAAATTTTGAACTCATATCATAAGGAAGTCACGTAAATAATCTTCCTATTTATAATAAAATCAGTTTCACCTGCTTCATGAGTATTGATTTTGAGTTCACATTTTTTTCAAGACAAAATTGAATTACATAACTCTTCAGAGGCCCTTTCTATTGAAAAACTTGAAAGACATTCATTTGTTAGTCTTAAATATAAGTGGATAGTATTCTATCTCTCAATCATTTTGGATTTTCATTGATCAACCATAAAAAAAAATGGATTTGTATTATTTTAAGAATAAAATTTAGCCTATGAATAAAAATGAAAGCTGGCAAATGATTTATCCATATTCCGTTTTAATTACTTCTGCGGAGACCTGAAGAAAGTGTACCAAATGGCTAAGCTTGAATTATCTCACTGTTCTCCACATGAGCAACATAGGTTTGAAAGGTATCCAGATTTCAGTGAGCTCAGAGTTAACCTTACATTGCAATAAAATTTTAAAAAGGTTTCATTTTATTTCTTGTAATTATGTTTTTCAAATGGCTTCTGAGTGACCTGAATTATATCAATCCAAAAATGTTTTACATAGTATGTGTATATGCTGATATGCACACATTTACTGCTGGTGATAATATAAAATTAATCAGACATTATCATGCATTGATGCTAAAATATTACAGTAATTTCCAAACACAGGTGGTTCTAGGAATTCTACTTTGAAATACAAGTAAAATTGCTGAGAACTTTGCACAGAGATCTCATAATCGGGTTGGGCTTGTTGATCTCTTGAGGTCCCTTCTAACCCCTGCAATTCTTTGTGATTCTGTAATCCTTGATAAATGCAGCTCTTCTTCCTTTTTCCTTACCTTCCAAAATCTCTAGACACCTAAGCTTGATTTCAAGCAAGTGTTCCTGTTTCTGTATCAAGATATCTTTTATGTGACCATCACAGTAGTATAAAGAAGTACGTATATTTTTTTATAAATTTCTCAAGATTTCTGTCACGGAAAAAAATATTCATTACAGTGCTGAAGTTCTTGATGTTCTGCAATGTGTAAAAATATTTCCAATTGGATGTAGTGAGCAACAAAAATCAGAAATAGTTATTACTGCAAAGCATTCATAGTAAAATGATCTAGTAACGAAGTCTCCTGTTCTTTGGGAGATAATAATTTTCAAGAGTTTCCATAACCATACCACCAGTCTTCTGTGTTTTTTTTAGGGGGCAACTGACTGGGCTCTCCCTGTGTTTCATTTTCTTTGGAAAAGTGCATTAATAACTTTCTTTTTTTCTATTTCTGTTTATTTTTCTATTTTTTACAGACTAAATTTGAAGTTTTTAAAAGATGGATGCTTGTTTTTATATGTAGGTAGCATTAGGCAGTACAGTACATTAGAATGTCTGAGTATTCTATAATACTATTTGTTGGAATAGTAAATACCTGAATGATGAATTGATGTGAAGAATTTGGAGCTAACGTTAAACCTCAAATGAATCCACACTGTTTAGATGGCAGTAGTCCAGGCATTAAGAGTCATATCTGAATTTCTTTCAAGTATGAAATGTTTGGGTAGTTCAAGCCCAAAGGACTTAATTATCTTCATGACTAAACTTGTAGTATCTCTGCGGAACTGGAAATTCCTCCCTATTTATGCAGGCAAAATAGGGTTACATATAAGAACAATGTGAATCAGGAGAGTGGCACCAGGATGTCATGTGTTCGCTGTTATACAGTGTGACTTGGGAGCATGTGAACTGCAGAAGAAGCACCAATCAGAGAAGTGCAAGGTCTGCCCAACATTCCTTTCTGGTCATTTCTGCCACAGCAAGCAAAATCAGATCCATTTAGTTTTGTTATTCCCAAGTGATACTAACATTATTGTGATTTGAATTTGGCAAGAAAGTTCCTTCTCCACAGTTCTTCCTGATTTTTCTTTTTCTTATGCAACAATGAATTTTGGCCACATACAGTGTCAGCTGAGCCAATATCAGCATACATTATCATTCATTCAATACTGTATCTGGAAGCATTGTTACTATGTGCACATTATAAGCTACTCAACCCTATCCATCTGATGCTCGTAATTCACTGTGACAAGAAGGGAGAATTTAATAAAATTTGATCTGTATATCTAAGAGAAAGTGGAAGAATCTGGATAGTGGGGGAAGCACGTCTGGATCCATACTTACTATGAACTGAATCAACACTGATGGCTACCATCCTTCATTTGACATTGAAATGATTGAAATACTAATGAGGAATGTCTCTGAGACCTTTCTCCTGTGTGTTGCACTGATTGGTCACCTAAGAAATCAGGAAATGGTTTCAAGCTTAAAGAGGGTATATTTAGGTTGGATATAAGGAAAAAGTCTTTTGCAGTGAGAGTGGTGAACCACTAAAGCAGGTTGCCCAGAGATATGGTGGATGCCCTGTCATTGAAGACTTTCAGTGTGAGGCTGGATCAGGCTCTGGGCAACCTGACTTAACTATGGATGTCTCTGTGCATTGCAGGAAAGCTGGACTAGATTACCTTCCAACTGTAAGGATTTGATGATTCTATAATTGTGGATCTAAAGAGAGTTTTCATTTCCACACTTTGCCCTCCAGACCAAATCTGGAATGTTTCTGTAGATAAAGGGTTTCTGTTTGAGAGCAGGAGAAAAGTTTTGTACAATAAATACTGACTTTGATCTGTACTAGGGTTATCTTGTATCCTGATATTGGAGACTCATCCCTCTGTATTGGAGAGTTATCTCCTTATTGTGTCCAGGTCTGTGACTCCCAGCAGAAGAAAAAAACATGGAACTGTAGGAGTGGAACAAGAATCACAGAATCACAGAACTGTAGGAGTTGGAAGGGACCTCTAGAGATCACTCCTTAGACCAGGTTGCACAGGTAGGTCGGGTCAATTGGGTCTTGAATGTCTCCACAGATGGAGACTCCACAGTCTCTCTGGGCAATACCTGTTCCAGTGCTCTATCACCCTTACTGTGAAGAAGTTCTTATCACTTATGAACAAAGGGAGCCACAAGGATGAGGTCTGGGGCACCTCATCTCTGAAGACAAGCTGAGAAAGCTGAGCTTTTTCAACGTGGAAAGGAGAAGGTTCCAGGGACACCTCATTGCAATCTTTCACTAAAGGGAAGAGGCTGATTTTTTATATCTACCAACAATGATAGACAAGGGGAAATGGTTTTAAGCTACAAGAGGGGCAATACAGGTTAGATGTTAGGAGGAAATTCTTTATTCAGAGGGTAATGAGGCACTGGCACTGCTGCCCAGAGATCTGTGAATGCCCCGTCCCTGAAAGTGTTCAGAGCCAGGTTGGATTGCGGCCCTGAGTAGCCTAATTTGGAGGGTGGCAGCCAGCACATGGCAGGGGTTTGGAACTGGATGGGCTTTAAGTTCTCTTCCAGCCCAAATCATTCTATAGTTCTATGATTAACAGTTTTTCATTTTCATTTTGCTTCATTTAGCCATGGGTTCCCATGTAGCATTTACAACATATTCACATTTTTACTGGACAATTCTTGTTACCCTTGCAGATTTCATTTAGAAGGAGAAGGACCTGAAAATAAGATTGGTCTTTGCTTGATTAAGGTGTCTGGAATTTGAACTGTTAGCTTGTCCAATTTTAGAACAGACTCAGATACAAAAGAGCAATTTT